AAGGACTACCTACATAGACCAATGGATGCAGGGACAAAGCTTAAGGTCAAATTCAGGACCGGGGACATAGGCCTTCGAGAACGTCGACGAAGACATAGGACGGTAGACGAGGAAGACGACGAGTTCAAATGTGATTGCGGCTTCGAATGCGAAGACCGTGTTCATGTAGTCGCGGAATGTCCGTTGTACAAGAAGGAGAGGGAAGTGTACGTGACTGAGCTGGGAAAAATAGATGGAACGTACAGGGAGATGTTTGAGGCATGGAATAGAGAGGAAAGGACGGTAGCTGTAGTGGGGCATAGGAGGTGGGTTGAAAAGGCGGGAAGGGATATCGTTAGGATAGACAGACTAGGGAAGACATTTTTGAGCCACCTTTGGCAAAGTAGGGAGGAACGATTGACATCGGTGATCGGTCCTGTGGGAATAATGCCCCGTACTCTCGAGGACGCGTGGTCAATGGTCGAACCGCTAAGGCATGCAAAACATAAAAGTACGCCCCCGCCCCCCCTCCCGGCCTCTCAATGGCCGTGCCCGAGTCGCTGCTGCTGCCCCCCCGATCTTCGGATCAGTTTCGAGGCGCAAGCAACCAAATCAACGTCATGATCGATCGAGCTCGCTGACGTTTGACCTAAGTTACCATGTCCGGGCATGGAAGAGCCAGGTTAACGCCCCGCCGAACCGCAGCTCAAAACTAACCACAGCCTAAACAGAACGTGTTCAAACCTGGCGATGCATACCCTCCCAACCCCCCCCCCACCACCACCAACGAAAACACGCCAACAGCACAACCAATCGATGGCTTACCTTTCTCTTTGGCGAGCCCCCCCCAATGCCACCACCACCGCTTCTACCGCCGACCCCCCCTCCTACCGTCATCGACCCCTCGTCTAGCGGTGCCGACTTTCCTCTCTGACCGGCCTGTTTTCGCACTGATATTATGGTAGTTGGACACACGCAGAAGAGGCAACGGCAACACTAGGTTGGAACGAAGCAGCAGCAGCAGCAGCAGCAGCAGCAGCAGTAACAACAACAGCAGCAGTGGCAGCAGCAAACGAACAACACAGACGAGCAACTAATCTTCGTACGGCACACAAAGCAGTTTCCTCTTTGAAATCCTTCGTTTTATTTGTCTCAGATCTCAAGAGACAAACGATTATTGTTGGGAGGGTGGCACACAACACTTTTCGTTTCAACAGGCTATCATTTCTTCCTCCTTCTCAAAAGAGGACAAAACGAGTATTGTTGGTGCACATACATCAGCACATAAAGGCGACCCACATTATTTTAAAATGGTTTCGTCGTCCATTTTTTTATCCTCACCCGCGGTAGGAAGGTCAATGGGGGGACCGTCGGGATCTTGCGTCACCTCCACGCAAGGCCCCGGAAGCAGCTTCAGAGCCTCCCCCGCCGTCGTCCACCCTGGCCGCACAGAGGCCTGCACGAGCCGCACGGATAGCGGCGCGTACCTGCAGGCAAATACAAGGGGAAAAATCGCGGTAGTGGCACCGCAGCAGCAGCAGCAACATCAGGGGAGGGGGTGTACTCATTGTCGTGCATGCTGTAGGCGTTAGACCATTGACCTCGCATCCCTACAGAACCGGGACGGAGCAAGCCGGGTTCTCACCGGACCAGGCTCTCACATCACCAAGCGCGAAGCGCCGTGAGATATTCGGCGAGTCGCATGAAGGGTGCGCTGCATCCTGCTAAGGGTGTTCGGCATCTTGTGCTTACTTCCTTGCGTACCGATGCCAGCTGCGTATGACTTCATTTACTTTCTGGTGCTTTCACTTCCTGAGGCAGTTGTAAGCACTATGTAACTGCTTCGAGGGTGCTTGACCATTTGAACACAACGTGGTGCGATCATCCCCCTTGCGCGGAGTGAGGGTTCTTGACCCCGCACAACATGATCTACTCGGCCACCATTATGGTTACCGCCAAAAAAAAACATCAGAGGAAAAAAAAACACGGTAACCTGGTTGCCGAGTTCACGAAGTGATTGGCTTGTTTTACAACGTCGTTGCCAAGCGACGAAAACCCAGTGGGGGGGGGAGGCGAGAATCGGGTTCGCAATTTGTGTGCATGTTTTTGTCATCTGCGCATGAGCAGCAACACGAAACCATCATCAGCACCAACAACAGAAACACCATATCAACAACAGGTCGACAACAACAGAAACAACAGCAGCGAAATGGAATGTGGCCCCTCGCCGTAGCGCACCGGAAGAAGAGAGTAAAACAGACTCACCCGGACGAGACGTAGGCGATGTCGTCGGGAGAGCGGACGTCCACCGCATCGTTGACCAGCCTCAGGGATCTTCGGAGAGGGGGCCACGGGGATCCCGTATCTACGGCCCCTACCCCCCATACCTTTTCCCGCTTCTTTAACAAACCCACTGCCTCCAGGTTGTTCAAGGTGAAGAGGTACGGGTAACCGTACGTCTGGTAGAAATAGAGGACATAATAAGAAAAAAAAAGAAAAAGAAAAACAGGAGATGAGTGATGAAAAAGAACAAAAAAAGGAGGAAGAAGAAAAAAGAACAAAAGTAGGAGGAAAACAGAGAAAAAGAGTGGACCAAATGACAACAAGACGAGCAAATAAAAAGGACAAACGAAATACAACGATACAAAGCAAACACAACCGCAAGAATAACAAAAAACGAGGAAAAGAGGAGGAGAAAAAAGCGAACCGAATGAGAAACGACCCGGGAGGTTACCGGGCGAGAGCTGCGAATAATCAGAGGGCCATTACCAAGCATTTTCGAACAGACGCGGTGTGAGGGGGGCAGATGGAGTGGAATGGGCTCAAGGCTACTACCACCGATCGGTCCGAGATACGAGCGTCACCAGCTGATTGTCCAACCTTGTTTGACAAACAGATGTTGAGGAAACGTGGAGGGAGCACGGGCGGCGGTACGACACAACTAAGGGCTTTGCCACGCCCCCTTCTTGGACTGGACCACACACCCCACAGGGTGGGCCGCGCGTGTCGCGCGGACCCCGAGGAGGCGGCAGCCAAACAAACAGCGGAAGCTAACGCACACTTTGCGTATTTCCCGATCTACGTAGTTCCCGGATGTTCTCTAGGTCAAACCACCGCTTGCTAAGGGAAAAGAAATGATTTATTGTCTCTCACCCTCTCTCATCGCGAACTACTCAAACGACAAAGAGGCAGACAAACAAACAGCTAACACTGACCAAAACGTAGTTCCCGGCTGGTTTCGCGGTTTACCTGACGCATGTTACGGTATTAAGACAAGTAGCCTCTCTCGCCTCTCATCGCGAAGCACCAGTAGCGCTATGCAGTTGGTAGACTCTTTACAACGCCGCTCGCATCGCATTCAGCATTGGACTCAAGAATTTAAAAGAGACACACGCGGGGTCCCAGTGAATGGCATTTAGAAGTGTTTTGTGTTTTCAACCGCACTACAATAGACTGACGTCTTTTCATTGGTCAGTCGGTTAGTGCGGTCGATGCCAATGAAAACGACATACAGCACACAGACGATCACCACTTGAGATCCAATAAGCTGTTGGACAGCAACAGCAGTATACAGCACATTTCACTCAGCGGCCTATTCTGACCACCGATGATGACTCATGACAGCAGCCGTCGGACGGAAAAAACTAGAGGTCCCTCGATTACCAGGGGCACAGGCCTCGCGACAAAAAAAGGTATACCCGGTGCATGCCCATGCGCACCGGCTTGCCCCGTACCGACCCTGACAACGATCGAGCACAAGCAGCCACATCTGGCGCCGAAAACAAAGGAAAAAATGACTTGTTCCGGGAAGCAAGCCGGCGGGAAAAATCAAGAACACATGGATATACACAAATAAACTCGGGGTTTGCGACTGGAAACGAAGCATGTTGTCACCGCTCTCACGCTACCGAGTTAATGCCACCTCGATAGCCGTCCAATGCTACGTAGCAGGGCCAGGGTGCCAGCGCCAATGTGCTCGGAAGTTGTGAGAAATTCGCGAGATTTGTTGTCGTATACATTTTCGTACGGGATGCGCGCGGCGATTGATTGGAAGATGAAGGTTCCCCACCTGCACCACCTCTCTCTTGAGAAAGTCGTACTTGCTGGCCTTGATGCCGGCATCGGTCATGCTCTGGAGGCACATGAGCCGTATCACGCGCATCGCCGGCTCCTGCATGCTGATCATTTCTTCGATAACCTTTTTTCCGCCGGAGAAGAGCACGGTTGAATGATCCCGAAACAGACAATTACAATTGCGAAATATCCCCCAAAAAATGCAAAATCCGAGAATCGAGAAACTGAGAGTAAACGAACGGGGGTCGATAAAGCCCGGTGAAGAAAACACAACACACAACACACATAACAATGCAACGACAACGTAGTGCATAACATCGTTTTTTGTTTTATTTTATTTTTCAGTACAACTTCAAGTTTGGGCGAATAACAAAAAAAATATCATAAAAAAAGCACAGCTAGAGACAAACACTATTTTACTCATACCGGTGAGTAGAATCACAGCACCATGAATCGACACCGTGTATGGCACGACGACCAATGGCACTGGTACCGATCCTCAAGGTCACGGCCGATACGTGTAGCCAGTACTTTTGCGATCTACGGGCTTTCATGCCCTCTGATTGGTCGAGCGTTGGTTGGTTCGGGCGGTCGCGTCCTCTCTCTGTTATTCATTCCGATCACGCGGCGCACCCGCGTTCTCGCCCAGTTCGCGGCCGCTAGGCCGTGCGTTGGCCGTGCGTGAGGGCTAGGGCTGGGTTGGGTTGGGTTGGCCACGGTGTGTGGCACATCCATTGTGCGGAGCCTAGGTTCAACACCCGGTTAGACCGAAACAAGTTCACCAAGCAGACCGTCAAAGTAGACCTCCGTCTAGCCTACCGGTACATGCTTACCACTGCTAAGAACCCCCCTTACACCAAAACTTATATACCGTAAGGTTGGGAGTCAGCAATCGATTTTCAAAGCGCAATTTATCCACAACCAGGAGGGTGCGAGCGCCAACTGATGCTTCTCAGGAAAGCTCTAGAGATATTTCCGAATTCCAAAACCGCACTTTTTCGACAGTGGTTGTTTGAGAAAATTACGCTTTGAAATCGTTCGCACCCCTGTGTGCTGACTCCCAACCTTACGGCAATGGTCATTGGTAGCATAACCGTAGGGAGGTAGAACCACAACTACGGCCGCAAACAACAAAAGCGGTTCTCAAGTGCGGGTGCTTACTGTAGGAGGTTCACCTATCACCTCAGAGCAATCCTCGCCTTCGAGCACGGCCCTCTCCGTCTGCCACCGCTTCCGGAAGTCAGGGGCTCCCGAGCCCTCCATGATGAGCTCGGCGATGTTGATGTGCAGGTTGAGGGACTTGTAGTCTTCTTTCAGGCCGGGGATCTGGTTTGGGGGTAGCAGAAACAATTACTATCTTTGAGGCTGTATTAGTTGTGAAACCTAGGGGGATTCTGCGTGGAACCAGAAAGTCCTGACGGACAACAGTGTTAGTCACCTCTCGCGCGAAGAAGAGAGATAAGCGTTGATTGGCATGACGAGCCGTCTTGTCCTGTGGCACCTAGGTCTTGCCCGTACCAAGGCACCAGCACAAAGTGTTTCGACAATCTGGGCGGGTAGTCCGCCGACGAAAACACCACCAAAACACAGAAAAACAACTATCACCGCCCAGCACGAATAGGATGACACACACACAAAACGAACAGCCTTCCACGAAAGGGGCAGGTTGGTCGATGAAAATCGACAACACAAACAAACGGAAGAGGGGATAATCGAAGGCGCGTTGAAGTGAGCCATGGACCAATTCGGAGGAACGTGCGCACACATGGGCTAGTGCTGATTTTACCTTCTTGACGAATTCGTGAATCTCGGTGATGCTCTGGTCCCGGTTAGCGCGGAACTGGTTGTAGCTCTCCCGGATGTTTTTTGCCTGGCACATCACACGTAACACGCACGCGAATCATCCATAAGCGAAGAGCAGCACGGCAGCCAGAGGTCAGTGCATTGCCTTGGGTTGCTTTCCCCTCGCTGGCTGTATGTTTGTATCCCTCGCCTCTCTCTCTCTCTCTCTCTCTCTCTCTCTACCGATGTCTTCAGGGATCAAATTGAAAAAGTAGAAGCTACAAAGTAAGATTCTATCTTGAATGAAAGCATCTAAAAATTGCTCTTGTTGAAATAAAAAAGTATATATTTTTATTATACTAAGAAAGTATGGGTAAAAAATTTGTAACATTTCTCTTTCCAATCCTTTTTCATTATAAACAATTTCACTATCTTGAGATTAAGAGAAAACATATATATATTTTTTTTGCAACAGATTTTGACCCTTTTTATCATCAGGATTTCCAGCTTCACTCCCCCCCCTCTCTCTCCCGAGCTATACATCAAGTCTACAACTGGATGCTACAAATCCCGCAGAACATGCGCATGTAGGATTTCAACTTTTTTGGTGCTCCGGTCGTTTTTTCTCCGCTGGGACAGCGTTTATCTCGCACTTTCTTCTGCATGGCACTCAGAGGACCCGTCGGCACATCACCCGTTACGTGTGGGGCTCGCGAGACACCGGTGGTGCGCGTTAGGGCCGGCTAAAGTCGCTGGGACTGGCTCTTTTTTAGGGGTTGGGAATCCGAACCATAGAAGCCTCCTCGAACGGCATGAAAACTGAAACCAGAACTTTTTTTGCCCCGCGCCCAGCGCCCCGCGCCCCGCGCCCACGCGCCCCGCGCCCACGCGCCCACACAGCTGCTGTGATTGTTGTGTACACACCTGCCACACAGCAACTGGCGCATTCGTACCCGTAGCGGGGACCAAGACTCTTGGTGTTGCTCATGGAAACACACCACACGACACAGAGGTCCTCTCGCACAACTCCTCCTCTGGCAGCGCGGTCATTTAAATTTTAATTCCGAACAATCGACAAATTCAAACACATGGTACAAAAGTTGTGGTACTGCTGTAGCAGTCTACGTCTGCCTGTCTGTCTGTGACTGCACTTGGGCACGTTGAGCGTCTCTTTGATGCGCTGTTGGTGTTTGCGTGAATACGTCCCACAGAACATGGGAAACACGATCAGCCAATAACAGTGAGTGATCAAACACAGCGGCTTCCAGCAGTAGGACCTGCATGCAGCAAAGACAGCGCTAGCCTACATAAAAAAGCACACACCAAGCGAAGGGTCACGGCGGGAGAATACAGAATACCACGCGCATGATGTAAGGAGTATACAGGTTGCACGCAAGCCGGCACCACCGAACGTCATGACGACCTACCATGCGACCGCGATGGCATTGATTGGCCATATCTCTCTTGCGTCGCCCCCGAAAGGCAAATCACCTATACCTCCCGCAGGGGAACCTTGTCACACTGTTAGGGGTGTCAAAGCGGAAAATTTCCTATAGGAAAAAATCGAAAAAGCGTCCTCGGATCTTGCTGATGGAAAATCGACCAACCAATGAAATTGCACGGAACCGTCGGAACCTCCCGAAAAGACCCTCTGACGCACACGCGCGAGAGCGCAGCTCGCCTGGCTGCTTTGCGCCCTGCTATGGGGCACAGCACAACACCATTGCGCGGTCCCACTCTAGAACACATGCCTCATGACACACCCGAGCAGCAGCCGGGCGGTGGAGTCACGCAGACACCTGCCGCCGCCGCTGCTGCTGCTGAAAAAAACAGCAGCAGCAGCAGCAGCGGCGGCGGCGGCGGCAGCGAGGTTGAGTCTGGCTCTCTTCCACAATTTTCTTACTTTTAACCAACTCTTCCTTCGTTTCCTCCAGCGTTCTCTCTACGACGGTGAGGCTGCCGCGTTCGATAGCGCGCCGCGTGTTATCTTCTGCTGACGCGGCAACCATACACTGCCCCGTCCTCTCTTCAAACTTCGTTTTGTTTTGATTCAGCTTTCGCGCAGCGCGCCTCCTGCTGCCGAACGGCGCGGACCTCGATTTTTTTTTTTGGGAGGGTCTGCTAGTGTGGGCGCTGCAGCCCCACTGGAGGGGCCGTTTTCGGACATGCAGATCTCGGGGTTGGCTGACGCGATTCGAGCGCGGTTTGTTGTGCTGTATAGGTGTAAACCCAAGGTAGAGGACTGCAAGCTCGCTTTCACGAGAGGAGCAAGGTCGCCTTGGGCGTGGAGCAAAGCGCCCAAAAAAACATGTTTTTTGGTGTTGTTCGTCCGCCCTTCAAACTTAAGTAAGAACCGAGCTCGCAGTCACCTCTATTGGACCTGTGCCCAGGTGCATGTAACGCATGAAAAGCCATGCTGCTGTCTGGACGCAGAGCTGCCTGCACAAACAAATTGACTTGATGTATAGTTTATTCAGTATTAACAGCGGGATTCTCAAGAACAAAAAAAAAACAAATCCGCGTGCCCCCCTCAAATTTTGCCGAATGGACCGGACGTTTTTTTGGCCCCAAATTCCGCCGCTTTGACACCCCAAACTATCATCATCATACACTCGTCATCTAGAGCCTTACCTAGAGCCCGTCGGCAGTAGCGACACAAGGCTAATTATTCGAGCGAAGCGAGATTTCTAATCTTGCCTGAGAGGGCTCAGCGCAATATAGGGGCCGATGCAGGAAAAAAAGTGCGTGCGTGTGTTGTGTTCGCTTAAACTAGGTTTTAGAGTACAGGACTTGATTTGTGACTACAGGGCGCACTTTTTTTTTTTACACAGCAGAGCAGCAAACAGCAACAGCAGACAACACGCGCTCAGCGAGCAGACTGAACACACACGCACAGCAGACAACACGCGCTCAGCGGGCACAGCGACACACCAACAGCGCAGAGCGGACACAGCCACAGCGGCCTGCATGGCATGGCAATTGCATGATGAGTAGACGTCCGTTGGGGCCGATTGACCCGAACTCCCTCCGTGAGGCAGAGACGCACACAGACTCGCGGCGCAGACAAAGCCACGGGGAGAGGGAGCCCCTAGGCAGCCCACAGCTTGACCGGGCGAGAGCTGCTGCTCGTCAGAGGACTGCCGCCAGGCGTGCGGCGGAGACCGATGGAGCACGGGCAGAAAGGTGCGTTGCGTGTGCGTGCGTCTGGGCGGCGATTGCCGGAGAGG